GTATCAGCTTTGAGGGGTATGGGCAGGGGTGTGGGGGGAGGGGATGAGATATGGGGTGAGAGTGCCAGAAGGGCAGGGGATGGGGCATGGGAGGAGGGGTGGATGGCTCCATGTGGGTGGGGGTGGGAGCCTCAGAAAGGAGAGGGGTGGGGGAGCCAAGTTGCCTGTGTGCCCCCATCCTGGGGTAGTAGCAGGTGGTACATCTGAGACTCTTTCAGCAAGTCCCTATTGGCTCCCGTTGAGAAATGTTCCAGGGCAGGCAAAGCTGGGTCTGGCGTGTGTCCCTGGGGCCTGGGCGGTCACTGCTGGGCATCGCCTACCTGGCCCAGAGCAACTGGGGGAGGGGGGGGAACAGGAAGACAAGCTGATCCCAGCTGGTGTGTCTCCCCCCTGGTTCCAATGGAGTGGAGGGGCGGGGGGAGGAGATTTCACAGTGGGGTCTGTGCTGCTCCTGTTCCCATCGGCCTTTCTGCCTGCTTTCCCCACTGGGGTGCAAACCCCCTGCGTCTCTCTCCCTGACCCTCCTGAGTCAGACACCCTTGAGATATTAGAGGTGAGACCTTAACGCCCTCAGGATCCATGTTCATGTGACTCATGTCAAAGCTGACTGGAGTCCCCTGGAGGAACCGAACCCACTATTTTGTGGGGCTAATACAACCTAGTGGTTAGAGCATTGGACTGGGACTCGGGACACCTGGGTTCAGTTCCCAGCTCTGCCACTGGTTTGGAGGGTGACTTGGTACAAGTAATTTCTCCTTCCGAGCCTCAATTTTCCTGTCTGTAACATGGGGAGAATCATACTGACCTCCTTTGTAAAGCCTTTGGCGACCAATAGATGAAAAGCGCCTTATGAGAGCTAGGGATTATTATGAGAGCTGGTGGCTGGGAGACAGGACTCCTGGGTCCCGTTCCAAGCGATTAGTGCATAGAGTGTGCTGTCAATCGGATCTTCTCCCTCCAAACATAACGCTGAGTTCAGACTGAGGCTTTAGCGGGGAGTGGAGTCCTGCACTCAGACCTGTTTTCTTTGTGCTTTAGGCGTCACTGATTTTAAGGGGCCCTTTAGTGGGGGGGGGTCCAGAATTTAGGGTGCGGGTATGATGCATATAAAAATAAACCCTAGCAATCCAAATCTTACTATCATTTTTTTTTTAGTACCATTTGAAATATCCCCTGTCACTTTTGCAGCTGAGAAACTTCCCAGGAGGGCAAAGAGATTTCAAATGTTTTTCACAGCACGGATCATGTTTTAAGACAGAAACTGTTTGCTGGACAGCTCCCCTCTCGTTTCTAGCCAGTAAAGTCCATGTGGTGGGACTGAAGATCTGGGGTTAGTTCCCAACTCTGCCACAGACTGCCTGGCTGATCTTGAGCACGTCCCTTCAGTGTTCTGTGCCTCGGTTTCCCCTCCTGTGTAATGGGAGGGGCTTCCCATGTCTTGTCTGCTCAGCCTGTGAGCTCTCACTCCGTGTCTGTGCAGTGCCTGGCACTGGGCGGCCCCAGTCTCTGTTGGGCCTTCCCCAGATTATGAATCACATGCTTAGGATTGTTGGTGTCTTTAATGCAAACTAGCCCCTGGCAATAAGCAGGCCCAAGCCGCCGCCAAGGAAAGCGCTGGCTGAGGAGCCGGGCCCATGAAGCTGAGTGAAACTGATTAAACACCAAGGTGAAAGTGCTGCGCCTGTCCGCACAGGGGCAAGCTGAAAGGCAAGAGGATTGGGTGACCTGCACTAGGCCGGCCTTAATGCTCTCAGGCGGCGAAGGTCAGAGGCTGGGTTTTTAACTGACTTGAAGGCTCCCTGTCTGATTGTAACTCCCGATCCCTTCCCAGCTAGGGCTGTGTCTGCGCCCCTGAGCCCCTTGTAGATGCTGTGCAGACCTTATCTGCTGCCTCCCCGGCGAGTTAGCTCTACCAATAGCTGCAGCTACGCTGGGCCTCGTGCCGGCACGGCTCTGGCAGCTGCACCCTCGAATTTCCCGGCTCTGGGCTTGGCCGTTACAATTCCCTTGCTGGCTTTGTAAGTGGTAACTCCTGCTCTGCGCGCTCTCCTCTCCCTCAGTCCTGGGACACTGGATTCACTTCCGTGTCTGTATAAACAGCCCACCCGGGAGGTGGCTGCATCTCCGCACAGGGCGAGGGACCTCGGTATAAACAGCTGCCGTGCTCCACCACAGAGGCAGCCGCACTTGGGTAGTGGGTGATACGGTTTTGTCGCCTCGCTGATCCAGACGGTCGTGCCCATGGGAGGAGACGGGTGAGGCAATGGTTCCTTTTTTAAATAGCTGGAGTCCCACATGCTTTTCACGGGGCGTCAGGCTTCGTTTTGGCTCAACCCAGCAGCCGAAAATATCTCTTGGCTCCTACTCCCTTGTCTCACAGGGCTCTGCAGCTGTTCCGACGGGTCCCCGCTGGGACACCATTGTCCTCCGGGGCGCAGGAGAGCGTCTGGTGCGAAGGCTCCACGGCTTGGCCGTGTGGGGGGTCCCGGAGGGGTGGGGGGCTGGGGTACATGCTTGCAGAAGCAGTTGCTCAGGAATTCTCCCAGAGGGCCTTGCAAACCGGAATGGGTTGAGCCTCATGACTCTGCCCCCTGCCTGCAAGGACCAGGGAATAGTTCCCTGTCTTACCAATGGGGAAACCGAGGCAGAGAAGGCATGAGTGGTTTAGTCAGCCAGAGACCAATGCAGACGCATCCAGGACTAGTGGGACTTTCCCAGTGGCTGACTGTGATTCCCAGGGGACAGCCAGGCCCTGTTTACGCTGGGGGGAAATGGGTGTGTTCAACGTGTGAAAATCTTGGTGTAGATGAGGTGTCTGTGCTGCCCGTGTTGTGGCACTAGGGGGCGCTGTGCTGCGGGGAGCAAGGGGGGAGGGGCTCAGCAGGGGGCACTTTGCGGGCAGTGCTGCCCCGGTGCAGCAGTCGGGGGCGCTGTGCTGCAGGGAGTAGCTCTGGGGGTGCCGTAGGCCCTCCCGGTGAGTGCTGGCCACAGTGTGGTGTTGGCTGGCTAGGGCGAACCCTAGTTCTAGGGTGTAGAAATACAGCTCGGATCCTAGTGACGAGACGTCCTCAGTCCCCAAGTGTCCCACGGGGATCCCCCTGAGCCCCAGCTGCCCCCAGGAGCCTCCGGCTTGTGTTAGCTGCAGTGGCAGCTGTACCGGTTCCCCAGCCCCTCCTTTAACCCAGGGCCTCAGCCTCCCCTTCTGAGAGCTGCTGCTGGCCTGTGTAATCCGGCCTGGCCCTGCCCTGTGGGGAAGCTGCCTCCATCACGAGCACAGCATGTGTCCCAGAAACGCCCCGCGCTGGGTAGAGGGGTGCCGGGGAGGCCCGCGTCTGCACGTGCCCCTCCCTGGTCTCGGTTGGCCCCATTCAGCTGTAACTGGCGCGCTGGGCGATCCTGGCAGCCGGGGGAGAGTCGCAGCTGCAGCTTGGCCGGGGGGAACGGGCAGACGTGAGCCCAAGACATCCCATGACCTGCCCCAGGGAGCGCATCCGGTGTCTTTCATGTATATTACTTAGTTGGATTACAGTGGTGGCCAGGAGCCCTGGTCGTAGCCCAGGACCGCACTGTGCTAGGCGCTGTACAAACGCCCAACAGAGACGGTCCCAGCCCCAAACAGCTTCCAGTCTATGCAGCTGTGAGGTTACCCAGTGGTTATAGAGGCTTCAGCCAAGATCAAGCCCCAACAGGCCGAGTGCTGCCCACATGCAGTGAGAGGCTGTCACCATCACAGCGAGCCCAGATGCACGGTGGGACTCAGGGGCAGCATCTGGGCAGCAGGTTGGCAGCTCAGTCACCCAGGGAGTCGGCGGCAGATCCAGATTTCCCGAGTCCCAGGTCAGGGCCTTTCCCGCAAGACCAGACTAGGGTGTATGTAGAGAACCAGGGTGGGAACAAACCAACCTGACCCGACACCTCCTTAATCCTCCCGCCTCATATCGGCCCTGGAGCCTGGCTGGGGGCGGGAGCGGGATGGGGAAGGAGAGGGGTCCCCCTCCCAGCCGTGCAGGGATCTGCATACCCAGCTGATGGGGCCGTCTCCTCCCGCCCGGCAGGTGCGGGTCCTCAAGGAGAAGATTGAGGCCGAGAAAGGCAAGGAGGCCTTCCCCGTGTCGGGCCAGAAGCTGATCTACGCCGGCAAGATCCTGAGCGACGACGTCGCCATCAAGGAGTACAAGATCGACGAGAAGAACTTCGTGGTGGTCATGGTGACCAAGGTACGGCCGGGCCCTGCTCCCGCTCCCGGCTAGGCTGCCGGGTCAGGGGTAGGAGCTGCCCCTGGCTGGGATGTCGCGGAAAGGAGGCAGCTTTTCACACCCGTTCAGTAGGAGGCGCTCTCCCCTCGTCGTCGGTGCTGACCCCAGAGTGGCACTAGGGGGCGCTCTCCTCTCACAGTTAGTGCTGATTGTATAACATGCAGTCAGCCAGGGCCGAAGGGCAGTTCCTTCCCGCCCCCCTTCACCGCAGCTGCTTCCCCAGGGGTTGGGAGCTGATCTCGCATGTGGTTGGGGAGTGGGGGGGCAGAGACCCCAGCTGCACCCTTCAGCGTTCCTTGTTTCCTCAGACCAAATCCAACTCGGGCGTCCCGGCCCCCTCATCTGGTGATGCTGGGCCGGCCAGTGCCCCGGAGCCAACCCCATCGGTGGGGCAGACGCCGGCGCCTGCAGCCGGTGCTGATGCTGTCCTGCCCCCAGCCCCCGCGGCGCCAAGCGAGGAGAAGCCTCCGGAGGAGCCGGCAGCCATCACGCTGCCCGAATCCACTGCCGGGTAAGCACAGAGAGTGTGTGCCCCCTCCCCGCGCCTGCCTGTCTATGTTCATAGCTCAGTCACTCCAGGTACCCCGATGTCATGCCCCAGAGAATGGGGGGAGGGGCATAACCTTCCTTTGTGGGAACTTGGAACATCTTCCACTTGGAGGAGTGGGGTATAGTGGTTAGAGCAAAGGGGCTGGGAGTCAGGACTCCTGGGTCCTAGTCCCAGCCCTTCCGCAGATTCACTTTGACTGGCTCAGTCGCCTTGCAGCTCTGTGCCTCAGTTTCCCCATCAGTGCAGTCCTGCCTTCTTCCCTGTGGTGTTTTTTTTAAGGGTAACGTTGCCATGTGGCTGTTAAGCAACCGCCACCTCTCATCCCAGAGGTGGTTACACTGCAGTGATCCCATATATGCAGACTGCAGCGGGTGAATGGCCAGCTCTGTACACACACTGCATCCCCTGGGGTGTGGGGACAGAAAGGGGCTGCGGGGGGGCACCGAGCTTGCCTGTGAAGCATAGAATCAGCCAGGCTGCTGGCCGAGAGCTCGTCCCCACGAGCAGCAGGGCTGGTTTGATTTCAGGGCAGATCGAAAAGCCGTTTAGTTTCAGCTAGTGACCTGGTGCCCCTTGAGATGTGGCGAAGACCCCGCATGTCTCCTGGGCAGAAAAGACGAGCGTGTGTTAGAAATACCGTTGGCGAGAAGACACCCCTGCTCTCAGAGATCGGCAGGTGCAAACTTATGGGCTTGGGTCACGCCAGGCATAGCCCCAAGAAAGTTAACATGGCAGTGGGGTGGTGGGTCCTTCCAATGGGGACGGCAGCGAGGCGAGGGAGAGCCGGCCTGTGGCAGGATCAGGCAGGCTTCCACAAACTCGGCTGTGAGGTCACCAATGTTCAGACATTGTTACCCCAGGTTGGACCCTGATTCCGCTGTCAGGGCTGGGCCTGGTGGGTTAGCTTCAGCCCGTTGGGAACAGCGTCACCCGAGCTGAAACAATAATTCCTCAGTAGATCTAAAGCACTTGGTCAGGAGCATTATCCCCATTTTACAGATGGGGAAACTGAGGCACGAGGCGTGACTTGCCCGTGGTCACCCAGAAGGGCATAAAGGCCTCCACCCTGGGGTCTGCACCGGCTGAAAAAAAAA